AACCATATGATGATTGGGGTATATGTATATGTACATGTACAGCTGAGATTTTTGGCCTCCAAAAAGAAGAATGAGATCCAGCCAAAGCCCAAATCAGAACCTTTGGAAAGCTTCCTTACAGTCTGATTTCAGCTAATGTCTACACACTTTAACACATTGTCTAGTGCTTAGTGTAAAGACTGGATGTCAGACTCCTACCTGCTATTCTGGGCTCTGTTACTCACTACAAAGTATCTCATTCTTAGATCTTATGGATCCTGCAACAGATGTCAGGATTCGCTGCATTAGGGGTAAACTGCTGTTTAATTAATATTAGTAAGGCAAGTGAAAAAAGAAATCTTAATGGGACATAACGCAGTGATAGGAGAAACAGAATCCAGGTTGGCATTACTCAGTCAAAAACAGACAAACTGGAGGAGTTCCCAGAAGAGCACCCATGATAATCAAAGGATGGGAAGGGCTGACTGATTTCTAAAAGAAGAAGAAGCAGTATGTCCCATTATGCATGAAGTGGGGCCAACAGGGAGGGGGATGATAAGATTCAATAGGAATGTGAAGGCAAAGAGGAATAGAGTGGTGCTGGCATGACATAAGGAAGAATTATCCAGGAATAATGTAATAAAATCAAGAATATCTTTAGACAGGTTAAAGTCTAGCAACAACTTCATGGGAATGGTAGATTTTAGATTATATAATTTGCGAACAGATCTGATATGTTCTAAATGTCTTCTAAAACTCTCTGGGAGATAGATGTAGCCCAAAAAGCAAACGTCCATATTCATGTGACTGTCATAATAGCCTGCTTCATCAGCTTGGGGTGCACATATTGCCAAATCTTTATTTTCCCAAATCTGCCCTATTGTGAGGATATGAAGTCTTTCCTTGAGACCCCCACCACTCCCTTGCCCTGTCTTAGACCCAGGAAGAGACCATCTTCCTTGTGAACTGGAATCTGAGAGTTCATCTACTGCCTTGGCTTCGCCATTATTGATAACTGCCCCTACCTGGTGGGGTAGATCCTTGTCCAGTGCTGCTGTACCATCATCAGGCCCCTCAGTGGAACTCCACTCTGGGTTCCGAGGTGATATATTCTTTGTTTATACTCCCTTGCTCAGCCATGATTCCCAGAACAAACCTCTGGGCTAAGATAGCCAGGACTAGAGGAACTAATAGCATCAGCTCTATAAATTAGGTCAAAATGTCCTTCTAGGTTTGGATTCTCCATTTCCTAAAGGTAATTTCACTTCAAAGGACTTGTTCTTCTTGATTTACTCAGGGATACCATGATTTATACAGACAGATCTTCCTAACTTGGAAGCTATGGAATCCAGTGGTTGAAGTCCTAGTTCCTTCTCTCCCAGAAGGCTTTGGATTCCTCCTGTATATTGTCCATTCCATTCCCTGTAACTAGCTCTGCAACATCAACGACAATAAAAGAGGGTACAAAATCAATCTTTATAAGGTCAAAGTGTTAGTTTCTTCTCTCAACTAAAATGACAATATCCCACTCCCTATGATAAACTTGGTGTTACTTTTATAAACTCTTAGACTCATAGAATTGTAGATCTGTATGAACTTTGTTGGTCTTCTAGTCCATAGTTTTCATTTTACAAACATAGAAGCAGGTCCAGAAAAAGTTGGGTGATTTATTCAAAATCCGAAAAGTTAGTCAGTGCTGGAGCTGAACCAAAAGCCCAGGACCCCTAGTCCACTCCTCTTTCTGCCGAACCTCACTTTCATTTTTCTTTTGATTTTGTTTCATTTCATATTTCACTAAAGAACTTATGGCTTTGTATCCTTTTCTCTCTTTTTAGTGTAGGTGCGTTAGTAAAGATTAGAAAAATGAGATGTCTCTTATAAATATGACTCCTGCTTCTTATGAATTAAGCACACCATTTATATTCTAGAACATTAATTATTCCACCCAATTGAGTGCTACCTGCTAACAAAATGTTAGCAAATTGAATTCAACAATGTGTAAAAAGGCAAATAAATACATTATGATCAAGTGGAATTTATCCTAGAAATGTGAAGTTGGCTAAATTCAAAAATCAATTAATATTATTCACCATACTAACACACTAAAAAGAAAAACTATATGACTACTTTAATAGATGCAGAAAAGTATTTGTCAAAATCCAGCATCTGTTTCTGATTTAAAAAAAAAACTCCCAGAAATTAGGAATAGAAAGAAACTTCCTCAAGTCAATAGAGGCATTTATGATATACCTATAGCTACCATCATAACAATGAAAGGCTGAATATGTTCCCCCTAACATCAGAAACAAGACAAGGATATTTTCTCTTACCACTTCTAGTCAACATTGTACTAGAGGTTCTCGCCAATGTAGTAAGGCAAGAAAAAAAACTTGAAATCATCCAGGTTGGAAAGGAAGTAAAATGTCTCTATTTATAGACAACATAATCTTCTATGTAGAAAATCAATGGAATATACTCAAAAACGACAAAAAAAAAAGGTTATGAGAACTAATAAGGAAATTAGGCAAAGCTTCAGGATACACAAAAATAATACACAAAAATCATTTATATTTCTACATACTAGTAATGAAAAATCAGAAATTGGAATTAAAAAACAAATCTATTTATAATTGCATTAAAATGTTAATATATAGGTATTAATTTGACAAAAGATGTGACATTGTTGTAGGCAAAGGTTTTTTAGATACAACACCAAAAGCATGATCCATAAAAGAAAAAATTGCTCAGTTGGACTTCATCACATGAAAACTTTCTGCTCTTTGAAAAACACCATCAAGAGAATGAAAAGAATAGTTACAGAGTTGGAGAAAATATTTGGAAATCACATACCTGATAAAGGACTTTTATTCAGAATATATAGAGTTCTCAAAACTCGATACAGGCATACCTCAGAGATTTTGTGGGTTCTGGTCCAGACCACTGCAATAAAGCGAGTTATAATCTTTTTGCTGGTGGAGGGTCTTGCCTTTAATTTGTAAAAAAATGTAACATTTGTAAGAAGTGCAATAAAGTGAAGCACAATAAAACAAGGCATGCCTGTAATAAAGGGGAGAAGACAATGCACAATGGGCAAAGGATCTGAAATAGACATCTCTCCAAAGAATATAAGTAGATGAATAAGTACATGAAAGATGCTCAGTATCTTCAGTCATTAGAGAAAAGGAAATTAACATCACAAAGAGATACCAGAGTATACCTATTAGAATGGACAAAATTAGAATAAATGACCATACCAAGTGATGCTAAGGATGGGAAAGAACTGGAACTCTCATACACTGCTGTTGAAAATGTGAAATGGTACTACCACTTCAGAAAACAGAAGCAATATTTTCAAAAGTTAGACTTACACATACCAAAGGATTCATCTCTTGTACCCCTAGGTAGAATACACAAGGGAAATGAAAGGATGTGTTCATACAAAGATTTATACACTAATCTCTAGCAGCTTTATTTGTAGTAGCCAAATAAATGAATAAAAAACTGTGCTATATATCCATGTACTAAAACACAACTCAGCATAAAGGAACATACAATCGATGGAGGCAACAACTTGGATCAATGGCAAAATAACTATGCCGAATGAAAGAAGCCAGATGCAAAAAGATAAAATTTGTATGATTCCATTTATATAAAATATAGGAAATGCCAGCTAATATATAGTATCAGAGCAGACCTATGGTTTCAGGAGGTAAGGCAGAGAGAAGTGCAAGAGAAGGAGTATTAAGGGTCAAAGAGAGATTTTTGGTGATGAAGGATATGTTCACTGTCTTGATTGTGATGATGGTTTCATAGTTGCATACATATGCCGGAATATATCCAATTACACACTATAAATGTATGCAGTTTCTTGTATGTTAAAGCTGTTAAAAAATAAACAAGAATAAAACCAAAAGAAAGTAAGACTCACTATTTGAATTCATACGAGTAGTAAATGTTACTGGAAAACTATGTTATATAAATTAATTACAGACACTGTTTTTAAAAATATGTCAGCAGATACTTTATAAAGCAAAGAACCCTTTTGTAAAAGCAATCTTCACTGTTGAATATATCTTTTTTATGACTCCTATTGTGATATATTGTGTTTCCTTAAGGAGGATTTACATCAGATCTCCTGGGATAATGACAGCACAATCCCACTTCTTTTCAAGAGCTTTCATGAGCAACAATAGCATTGTGTTGGTTGTGCTTTGTCTGGAAGTGGCGGAAGGCAGCTGGAATAGCCGTCGTTATCTACTCTTTAGTACATAAACAGTTTAGTTCACTTCTTAAATTATGTATCGTGATTAGATATTTACTCTGCTTGTTATCTAAGCCAAATTTCAGCTTAGGAACTTAAATGTATTTAAATCAAGAAAGCGTTACAAATACTTCAAAATGATTCATTTCTTCTTAATAAAAAGCTCAATTAATACTTGAAATGGGACTGTGTATATGTGAAAGTTCCTTTTTAGTCAACCAGAAAAATAAAAACTACCAAGTGTTAAAGTTTGTATGTGTTTTAAATGCTTTGGGTGTTCCATTAAAAGATCTGGCTTTGTTTCCGTTGGGTAAAGGGACACAGTAAATGGGAAAGATAAAAGTCAGCCATAAAACACGACTGCCCAGATATGTTTCCTGAGCTCATTGCGCTGAGCATGAATATGCTAATGAGCATTTCTGCTCCTTTCTGCCTGGCTCATGGCAGTGAGACACGGGAACTATGAAGTTCTTTCTCATCTTCTCTCTGACTCAAATAGCTATGGTGACCCGGCCTGTCTTTCTTTCAGGGTGTGAACGGCATGTCTGTGGATGAGAAGCCTGACTCCCCCATGTATGTGTATGAGTCCACAGTCCACTGCACCAACATCCTCCTGGGCCTCAATGACCAGCGGAAAAAGGATATTCTTTGTGACGTGACTCTGATCGTGGAGAGGAAGGAGTTCCGGGCCCACCGGGCTGTGCTGGCTGCATGCAGTGAATACTTCTGGCAGGCGCTGGTCGGACAGACGAAAAATGACTTGGTGGTCAGCTTGCCTGAGGAGGTACAGTAGTTTGCTTTGTTTGTGTGTTTGCTAATGGAAGCTCATTGACTTGTAGACAACTGGCTGAATAGGAGCTGCAAGGTGGACCCTGTGCCACATCCCCACTCGGAGCTGATGTCCAAATCACCCACTTGTTTAGTTTGTGAATAGCCGGTTTCTATTTGATTCAAGTCTCACAGGAACGAATCTGAACAGAGCATCTTTCTTTAAAGGAACTGAACCCCACCTGTGGCTCACAGTCACTCATAGTTTCTAGTTCACTGACTCTTCAGGTTTTGAGTAGTTCAACCAAAGTTTGGTACAGTCCTAGATGTGGGATCTGAATCACTGGGACTGTTGCTATGATTTTTCTGTTTCAAATGATTGAAGGAGCACTAGATTTCCCTTGAGAGTTAAAGAATGACAGTATTCACAGCACCTTCCTTGCCTGGGGAGAGAAGTAAAAGCAAGCAGTAATTTTTACAGTTAATATAGTAAGATTCTAAGAAGTGTAAACTTGCTTTTCTCACTATTGTTGAAAAACCCTACTCAGGTTTCTTAATTACTTCAGTGAGTCCAGTCATTTCTGTCCTTTGGAGACACTGGTAGCTGGACCTGTTCTGTCCAAAGATGACATTTATTGGATGTTTTGAGCTTCAGGAATTCAAAGGATGGGCTTTACAATGACAAATCAACAGGTTGGTTACCCTTGGAACTGTGTACACAGTTCCTCTTCTTCCATCTTCCTGACTCCCCTTCATTTTCATGGGACTAAGGATAACACTGAGCGGTCTTAGGTTTTGTGTTCTGGGCCAGACTTGTTCCCTGTGCACTGGCCCAGCGTGCCACACTAGGGCCACCAGCATGGGCTATGCAGGCTGTGCCCTGTGCAACTCTCAGGGGTCAAGCTCACATTCTTAGTCTATGTGAGTAGAGCCCCAAGTTGTGTGGTGATCGACTGAGCAGCTCTTCACAGCAACTCTAGGAAAATCCAAAGACCCCATCACCCTGATGTGAGGTGCTAGTGAGTACAACTAGCATTAAACCCCAGGGTCACAAACCCAAATGCCTCCAGAGGCCTGGCAAATAATATAAATGAGTAAAGGGGGTATGTAAAAGATTGTAGGAAGTAGTGGGGCTGGCACCTGCTCCACAGAAAGGCATCCAAGTTCAACATAAAAAATAGAACAGACAAGCAAGACATGGGCATCAGAGGGGGTCACCGAATCCAGTCCCTTGTTAAGTAATATCTGTTGCAACTCCTGCAGAGCAGGAGAATGGCCAACTGGTAAAGTGAGGACTGCATGTGCACTCAGCATTTTCACAGTAATATTCTTTTTATGTACCCATATAGAAGGCTCCATTGCTACTCCTCACACCACTCTCAAGTAGATAACTAGAACGATCCCAATATCAGAAGTCAAAGGACAAACCAGTTGAGGACAGTGTGATTGGGGCTGGGGTAGGAAGGGAAGCTGTGCACCGAGTAATGTGAGATGGCGAAAGAATGGCAGCTGTGGTGTGACTGGGTAGTTGGAGCTGGATTGTCCTTATCTGCATTAATGGATGAATACACATCATTAGGTAAGATGATAAATATGGAAGTTCTCAGCATGGTCTCTATCCTATAGTAGGCATTTGTCAAATAGGAGACCCTTTTTTTTCTCTAGATGGGGAGCAAGAATGCCTTTTGAATTTACTCCATCTCTAGAATCCCTGGAAGTATTTGGAAAACTTAATTATCCAGAATGGTCTTGGGGAGGGGGGTGAGGCTTGCAGTTAATTTATTACCTGCATCGTTTGAGAGCCACTTCATTTATACATTTTTTACTTATTTTCAAAAAAAAATCGATTATATTGAAATATTTTTCCAGATGAAGCCAGATTTTATGTAATTCAGTTTCCCTTCAGTGATTTGTTGACACCATCTCAAGACCCCCAGGACCATGTACCCTAGGCCCCAGCCTGCCCCTAGTTAGTTCTGGGATGCTGACCTAGTCACTTAAACTCTATGAGCCCCAGTTCTTACCTGTAAAAATTCTGAAGTCCTTGAATTATTTACCATAATACAATGCCAAAGCAGTAAAATTTAAAGGAAACCAGGATATAAATGCATATAGCATAACCTAAGTCTTTCATAGATCAAATCCCTCATAATCACTTATTTTCTTGGGACTGGGCCAAGAAGGTCACTCTTTAAAATAAGAGGCACACTGTATAGTTGATACACAAAAATCTGCTATTTGACCTTTTTGATTGTGTTCCAGTGAAGTGAGAATTTGTGTTGTGTTTACGTTCTTCCTAGCCATGTAAAATGCTTGTGGTCCCTAAATCATCTGCATTTCCAGACCATTAAAACATTCTAGTTTCTCTTGTACCTGAAGCCTTCAGACATAATTAGATGCTTTTTTTCTTCCTGTGAAACATGCATTTCTATTGTCAGCTCTAATTATCTTGCTGATGGGGCGTGTAAGCCAGCGCCAGTGGCGTTTTCCTTTGTGGGTCTGTATTGTTTCTGAGGCCTCCTTCTAGGACCCCTCTCCCTCTGCTCAGAACACCCTCCTGTGGCCCCAGGTGCTGGACATTGTTTTCCTCTCCTTGCTGTGTACACATTGAGGTGTCCTTGCAGGCTCTGTGGCCATTGTCCTGCTTAGCTAAGTGAATGACTTCATGGAATTTGAATTAAGTGGTGAATAAACAAAAATCCCAAACGCTACCTTGGAAAGTAGCCGCCTGGAACTAACTGGCATTCGTTTCATGTGACGTCCTAAAAAGCATTTGATTAGCCCCTTGGAAATCTTTAAACCTCATCATAATTCCACCACTGAATTCAGATCAGCTTCTGGCCCTGTCCCAGTCTTATTCACACTTGGCCCACCTCTACACTCCTTGGCCAGAGAGCCATTGTGTTTCTCAGGGGCCAGCATGACTGAGTATGGGAGCTCCTCCTTGAACTATGAAACCCAGATACAGACTGTCACCCCTTCCGCTCTTCTTCTCAGTCATTTTAGGCCAAACTCCTGGCCTCCAGCTGCTGCCCAGGTATGCATTTCTACCCAGACTTCTGAGTACTGATGGGTAACATAATTACCAGCAAATTAGAGCCACTCACAGTGGCCCCTGTAGCCTCTTAACTGGAAGGGAGAGAGACAAAAATAGAGACCTCCTTTTAGAAGCCTAGAAATAATCGAATTGTCTTGCTTTTCCCCCCTAAAGTGGAATGACAGTCCCCAGAATTTATATGACTTGAGTGTTGGCTCCCCATTGGAAAACACACCCAGGAATGTGTGTCAGCTAATAGTAGGAGATACAAGGCATTATACTTAGTACTTTCGTTCAATAATGAAACAGATCATTTAATTTATAATTAGTAAGTGCATCTTGTGCTAAGAGATGAAGAGAAGGTGGTTGATGAGCCAAGCATTACAAGGCCATTATCCTACTGATCATTAGTATTAATGTTGGCTCAACGAATACATCCTTATAGTCACGGAAATCATTCAGGCTGGATGCTGACCATGCTGGAAGTGCATTACAGTCATGAAGTTCATTCTTACGGTGTGTTGAGTACAGAAGGCAGGAATGGGGTGTGCTTCCTTGGAAGACATGGAGCCTACAATGGGTTTACACATCAACACCATTCTTTTGGGGCTACTGGCTCCCTCCTAGAATGCTAGGGGAAGAGCAGCTGTTAAGAGGTTATTTCCAAAGTCTATTATCAAAAAGTCAAAAGATAAAAAGTGTTGGCAAGGATGTGGAGAAAAGGGAACCCTTATGCATTGTCGGTGGGAATGTCAATGGGTACAGCCATTGTGGAAAACAGTATGGGGGTTCCCCAAAAAATTAAAAATAGAACTACCATGTGATCCAGCAATCCCAATTCTGGGTATATATCTGAAAGAAATAAAATCACTACCTCGAAGAGATATCTGCACTCCTCTGTTCATTACAGCATTATTCACAATAGCCAAGATGTGGAAACAACCAAAGTGTCTATTGACAGATGACTGGATAAAGAAAATTTGGCATATGTGTACACACACACACACACACACACACACACACACACACACTTTGTCATTATATATATATATATATAATGGAATATTATTCAGTTTATATATATATGGAATATTATTCAGTCTTAAAAAAGAAGGAAATCCTGCTTTTTGAGACAACATGGGTAAACCTGGAGTGAAATAAAAAAAAATAAGCCAGACATAGAAAGACAAATATTGCATAATCTCACTTATATATGGCATCTAAAAAATAAAAGTTAAACTCATCTAACAGGAGGTACAATGGTTGGCACTAGAGGCTGGGTTTGGGGTGTAGGGCACAAGGGGAGATATTGATCAATGGGCACAAACTTTCAGTTATAAGTTATATTAGACTTTCAGAATAAGTTCTGGAAACCTATTAATAATAATTACTATGGGAGGTGCTAGAGATGTTAATTAGTTTGATTGTGATAATCATTTCACAGTTTATGCATATATCAAAACATCATTGTATACCTTAAATACACATAATTTTTATTCATCATAAATATTAAAAACTTTGGGGAAAAAGATTATTGCCAAGGCTCCACCACCTTGTTTCCCATGTCCTTTCACCCATGAGAGAAGGGAGAGGGTTCATGCAGAGAAGAGCCATAGGGTAGGAGTAAGTATGGCCCGTTTAGGTGGACCTTGTGCTTTCTTAGGTATAAATATATTTCAGACCTCCGCTTACTCACTCCCTATCTTTGTCTTTTGCTTACTGTCTATTTTTCACTTTCTTTCTCCCTCTCTCTGTCCCCGCCCTCAACATTTTAGGGCAGATCTTGTTTTTTTTCCATACTAAACAAAAAGGAAACTTACCCAGAAGGATTCTGAAGAAAAGGCATTCATTGTTAAGTCTTAATGACAGGGTGCAATAAAAAAATCTTCCTGCAGTAGTACTGCCAAGCATAGAGGCCAATAAGGAAATTGTGGAATCTTCTTGTCAGAAAGTTTTTAGAGGGTATGAAAGCTGTTAAT